TTTTTTGTGCTAGATAAAATATAGGAGTCCAGTTGAATTTGAATGTCAGATACTGAATAATTTTTTAGTATAAGTATGTCCCAAATATTGAAGAAAAATCTCAGGAACCTAAATATTGTACAGTTCATTGTTAGATACTATTAGAAAGGAAACTAAACATTTTTCTAGAAGGGTCCGCTTTCTAAAGAGGTTGCACAGGATCACAACATATAAAAGCCAGTAAAATTTGATCTCACAATGCAAAATTACAAAATGTCTAAGTAAACATGAGCAAGAGTTCACAGAAATGTCAGACAGTAGAGTTACACTTCCAAGAACTTCATATAATATAATTCTTGGGTATATCTTACAAAAATGTTTAATCTGATTAAACAATAAAGAATAAAAAACATGACTACAGAATGAGAGACTGTCTGGGTAGATTTGATAAAGAATCAAGTAGAATTTCTGGAAATAAAAAATAAAGTCATTGAAAAAAGATGCCCTTAAAGGATGGGCTAAAGAGCAGAAAAGAGCAGTTGGAAAGTATCGATCTAGAAAATAGATCTGAAGAAATTTTTCACAACAAAGAAGAGGAGAAGATAGAAAATATGAAAGAGAGGTTAAGAGACATGAATGATTGAATTAAAAAGTTTATATCTAAGTGGAGTATTAGAACAGACAAATAGAGAAAATTGGTGGTGGGCATTAGGGAGGCAATCGTCCTAGAGATAATAGCAAAGAATTGTCAAGAATTCATGAGAAACATAACTATTTAGATTTAGAAATCACAGTGAACCCCAAGAAGAATTTAAAAAAACACATTCCACTTTCACATGTATCATATATCATACATATCCAAATGCCAAAGACAAAGAGAAAAATTTAAGGCAAAACACTGAAAAGACAAATTATTGGCAAGAGAACCATAATTAATTTTAGAAGCAGATTTCCCAGTAGCAACAGTAGAAGCCAGAAGAGAAAGAAAATGTCAGCCCAGAGTTTTATACCTACCTAAATTATCACTCAAGAATGAGGTAAAAAAAAATACAAAGAAAATAATTCACTACTAGACCTTTACTGAAGGAACATCAAAAGGATGTAGTTTTTAGAAGGAAATTCAACCTAGAGGAAAGAAAGGTAAGAAGGAATAATGAGCAAGTAAGTTGATGAATATACAAGTAAATAAAAGCAAACATCTTTATAAAACAACAATAATAGTGAGTAATTTAGAGAGTATAAAACAAAGTGGAAATAAAATTGTGAATGATAATAATTCAAGATAAGGGTTGAATAGAGGTAAAGCTTTATTTAGGAAGTAGGTAAAGACGTTGATTAACTTTAGGTTTTTAAAAAAACCTAGGCATTATCTCTTACCTGGTTTACTGCAATAGCTTCCTAACTGGGCTCCCTGCTTTTATCAAGGCCCACTTCTAGTCAAATTTCAACATAGCAGCCAGGGCGATCCTCTTAAAATGTAAGTCAGATCACGCAACTGCTCAGACCTAAACCCTGTATAGCTCCTCATTTCATTCACTATAAAAGCCAAAGACCTTACAATGGCCTAAAAGACCTGTGTGTTCTGGTCCCATCACCTCCCTGACCTCCCTTTTACCACACTTCCCTTGTCACCCATCTTTAGCCACATCAGCTTCTTGATCAGTCTTCCCTCCTGCCTCAGGGCCTGTGCAGTGGCTGTTCCCTCCTCCTGGAACACCCTCTCCCCAGATATCTGCTTGCTTGCTCTCTTGCCTTCTTCGAGTCTTTGCTCACATTTTACTTTTTCAGTGATACCTACCCTGACCTCTACATTCCATATCATAACCCACCCCAACGTCCAGCCCTTTTGGTTCCCCTTGCACTGACCTAGTCTTTGTTTTTTCCATCCATATCACTTATCACCTCCTAACATTTAATTTATTCTACATAATTTACCTGTTTATTATGTTTCATCATCTATTGTCTGTTCCACTACAATATAAGCTCTATGAGATCCAGGACCTTTGATTGTTTTTTTTCTTTTTGAGAGAGTCTCACGCTATTGCCCCAGCTAGAGTGTAGCTGGTATCATCATAGCTCACTGTAACCTCAAACTCCTGGGCCCAAGCGATCCTTCTACCTCAGCCTCCCAAGTAGATGGGACTACAGGCACGTGCCATTGTGCCCGGCTAACTTTTTTTTCTATTTTTAGTAGAGACGGGGATCTCACTCTTGATCAGGCTGGTCTCGAACTCCGGACCTTGAGTGATCCTCCTGCCTAGGCTTCCCCGAGTGCTCTGATTGTAGTAGTGAGCCACCACGCCCGGCTGACCTTTGACTGTTTTGTTCACTGATACATCATGACAGCTTAGAATAGTGTCTTGGTACATCAGAGGTACTCAATAAATATTTGCGGAATTGAATTTAATTCACATTGAATAGTGAGAAATTTTTAACATCTCTTTCTCAGAAATTGATAGATTAAGCAGATAACATATTACAATTAAGGATATATAATATCTGAACATATGATTAACAAGCTTGATCTAATAATAGTCATATATGGAACTTAGCACCCAATAATTGGGGAATACACATTATTTTGAAGGAAATATGGACATTTACCAAAATTGAC